CTTCTAACCACAGATAGATAGATAGATAGATAGATAGATAGATAGATAGATAGATAGATAGATAGATAGATAGATAGATGGGGTGGACGGGGATAGATAGATAGAGGGGGTGGATGGGGATAGATAGATAGATAGATAGATAGGGGGGTGCATGGGATGGACAGACAGACAGCTACTCTCTGTGTGTCCCATGATGCCTTTGCAGAAGCCCTGCATTCAGTGACCCGCATGTAACACGCCTCATGCCCACCCGTCTGACCGAAGCCCCCGCCCTCCCGCTTGGCCCAGCTCCGCCTCCTGCTCCCATCCCCCGCAGCAGGGGCGCTGGTACCCAGGGTAGCCCACGGCTCCCTGCGCCCACCAGGAATGAACGTGGTGGCGGCAGGAGGGGGGTGCAGTGAGGCGGCGCCAACCCTTGCCCTGCTGCTGTTACCAAATAAAGCACCCGCCCCCTGGCAGAGAGAGCGAATCAAGCAGCCTGTTTATCTGTAGGACCTACAGGAAGGGGGGGGCCTTGTTGAGACCAGTTTTCCCCCGAGCAGCGGGGTCCAGGGGACGGGGCGGGTGGGCAGCAGACTGACAGACACAAAGCAACGGACGGACACTCAGGGCCGGAGCTGCGAGGAACCACAGCGCTGGTGATGCGCCCGCAGGGTGAAATCAGCCACCACCACAGGATGCCACACAACGTATCAGCAGCATCCTGGCGGCCCGGGGCCAGGGCAGGAAACCACCGCTGCTGAGGCCCTGCTCTGAAACGGACCCAGGTGGGAGGGGGGGAGGGGGGGAGGAGCAGCTGTCACCATCCCCAAGACCCTCCCAGGACCTGGGGCGAGATCATCCCCTGCGGGCCGGGGCCCAAGATGCCCCTGTGACGAACTGGGCCTGTTCTTGCTGGGGTGTGTGAATGCTGACAGGGGAGTGTGGCTGGGATAGTCTGCGTTGGGGGATGGGAGACGGCCCGAGGGCGCATACCTGAGCGTGTAACATGAGAACCCAGGAAGGGGTTGGAGGTCAGGTAACTCCTTAGCCCGGGAAACTGAACAAAGGCTGTGGGAGGGGTCGCTGAGGGGAGGGGGCTGGAAGCGAGCTGGAGAGATGGCTGGGAGACA